TCCGTGAAGCTCTGGAGAATGTTTAAACCGAATGTGCGCGGCACTGAGGCGAGAATCACATTTTGAAAACGACCCGCCCTCAATCCGTGAAGCTCTTGAAACGTTTGAAACGAACGTGCGCGGCGCCAAGGCGAGAGCCAGATTTTGAAAACCAGCCGCCCTCAATCTGTTATTTTTGAGTTTTTAAAAGCGAGTGTGCGCGGCGCTGAGGCGAGAGCCACATTTTGAAAGCGACCCGCCCTCCATCTGTGAAGCTGTTGTCGTTTCTTCAGCGCAGTCATGCATGGTGAGAAAGTCTCCAGCGGAACGCCCGGCCCGCCCTAAAAACTTGCCTCGGGGTGCCACAGGGAGAAGTTATCTATAAGGAAAAGGAATGGAGGAGGGGGAGGAGGAGGAGGAGAAGAAGGAAGAGGAGGAGGACGAACAGAGGAGGAGGGGGAGGAGGAGGAGGAAGAGGAGGAGGAGGAGGAAGAGGACAAACAGAGGATGATGATGATGATGATGATGAGGATGAGAGGAGGAGGAGGAGGAGGAGGACGACGACGAACAGAGGAGGAGGAGGAGGGGGAGGAGGAGGACGACGAACAGAGGAGGAGGAGGAGGAGGAAAAGGAGAGGGAGGAGGAGAAGGAGAAGGACGAACAGAGGAGGAGGAGGAGGAGGAGGAGGAGGAGGAGGAGGAGGAGAACGAACAGAGGAGGAGAAGGAGGAGGAGAAGGAGGAGGAAGGACCACGAGGAGCGGGGCCGCCCGCCGCCGCGTGCCGGTGCTTGGCGAAGACCGCGGCGCGCGTGTCTGGCTGTGGTGCCTACAGATTTGCACGGCGGGGCGCCACCGTCACGGTCGCAGTGAGGGAGAGATGGAGCAGGCAGCCCGCGGCTGGCGACCTACAGTCAGCGTGCTACCAGCAGGAACGCATCACTGCACCGACCTTGCAGACGCGCTGCAGCCGATTTTTGCGCGGATGTCTGTCAACGCAAAGTTTCGAAAACGGCGGGCGAAAAAACGAAGTGAATATCGCGTGGATTTTTGTTTTAGTCTTCGTTCCTGGCCAAACAAACAGCCGCACGACATTCACCTCGAAATCCGGAACGAGATTCTCCAGGACCCTCTGGGCCCATCCCATCGTTTTCCGAACGACATCCGCCCTGCGATGTTGGCGCCATGGTACTTCCGCGAAGGCCCGTGCACAAAGCAGGCGGCGCGCCCGATGGGAAGTGAGGAGGGGCGGGCCTGCTCCGCGCGGGGAGACGTACGCAAGACTCGAGCACGTGGGGGCTCTCAGGTTGGCCTGGCGGGGCCATCGTAAGAGTGACGAGGCCCAGTCTGACATTTGACGCGAGCTCCCGCTGCAGACATCCCACGAAGATTGGACCGGCAAGGCCCAGGACGTGCTCGTCAAGAACATGTGGGCAAACCCGAGTTCCGGCTTACTCGCTTACTCAAGTCTTACGCGTCTCCGATCAGAAGGCTCGGAAATCACCCGGCCTTCCGATAAACGTCCTAAGCCTTCCCCGGAGACGCAGAAAACCTCCCAGAGGGCGCGAGGGCTTCTGAGAAATCTTGCCGCCTTCTGAGAAGGCCTTCTCCATCGCACTTCCCGCCCCCCGCTCGCCGCCGACCAATGCGGTCCTCACTCCGTGTTGGCTCATTGAGTCGCCCATTGTGGTGTTGGCGGCCCTTGCGCGTACATAAAAAACGCGCGGCCGTGCGTTCTACTCACGGCTGCGGGCATGGAGAAGTCGGAGATCTCAGAGTACGTGGCGCAGTCATGGACCCCTCACGCCATGACCTGGTTTTCAGGATCGAGAAATTATCTGAGTAAACTCTTTTGGTCCTACGGAGGATGGAGCGAGGAGTGCGAATCATGAACCATGATGAAGACGCAATGAAACCAGTAAGGATCACGCGGAATGAAAGAAATAAGGAAGGACTAATCGGAAATAGCGGAAGGATGAGGAGCCAACCTGAGGAATATCGAAGACGCCTCCGCCGAGAATTCGCCGCCTTCCCTGCCTCTGAGAGGGACTCATGTGGCCAAATGCTGTAGATACGCCACGCACGTGTGGGCGATAACCCACGGAAAACTCGCTCGACCGTGGCTCGAATTCTGAGGCCCCGCTCTGATAGGAGACCGATCTCAGGCCTCTCGATACTCCAGACAAGCGCTCGTGACCTTTTCCATTCGAACGGTGTGCTTCCTCGCTCCGTAGCTTGCCTTCAGCTCGAATTAAATAGAGAAGACAAACAACGCCTCTCCAACATTGGAAGAGTGCAAATCGTTGTTTGATCCCTGAGGTCAGGCCCTCTGGAGCCCCACGGGGCCGCCTTGGAGGTCTCTTGGGGTCTTCCTGAAGCCCTCGTGGCGATCTCCTGGGCTGTCCCGCGCTCCTCTTGGCTTCCTCGTGGGGCCACACCGGAGGCTGCGTGGGGCAGGGAGGGAGGGGGAGGGAGGGAGGGAGGGAGGGAGGGGGAGGGAGGGAAGGAGGGAGGGAGGGGGGGAGGAAAGGAGGCCAGCCGGGGTCGATCTTGGAAGCCCCGGGGCCGTCTCGGAGGCTCCGAATTCAGAGAAGGTGTCGATGCGGAAGCGCTTCGCAGACAAGAAAGGGCTTGCACTGGAGAAGAGTCCAACTCCTCCTCCTCCTCTTCCTCCTCCTCCTCCTCCTCCTCCTCCTCCTCCTCCCTCCCCACCCCCCTCTCCTCTTCCTCCTCTCTCCCTCCTCCTCCTCTCCCTCCTCGTCCCCCTCCTCCTCCTCCTCCTCCTCCTCCTCCTCCTCCTTCTGCGACTCCTCCTCTTCCTCCCCCTCCTCCTCCTCCTCCTCTTCCTCCTCCTCCTCCTCCTCCACCAGCAGTAGCTCGAACACAAGAAACCTGCCACAACAATCCAACCCTGAGACCCCAGGACGTCCACTGATTTTTGGTGTGGGCACGTCACGCTCTCCATCGCAAGACCATCGCAAGACCATCGCAACCCGAGAAACCCAGGGCACCCTGGAGGCGAGCAGGATGGTTCTCGGCATGGGCCCCCACCACTTGATGGTGTTGGCCTCTCAGGGGGCCTCGTGGAGGCTCTCTTGGGCCGCTCTTGGAGCGGCTCGGGGAGCCTCAAGGACTGTCTTGGAGCCTTGTTGGTTGGGCTGCTTCTGAGCCCACTCGGGTCTCACTCAGGGCATCCTGGGACGCCCGGGGGCATCTTGTGGTCGGGGTCTCGGTCCAGGGGCCCTGGCCCCCAATACTGCTGAAGGGAAAAACGATGCAACATACGTCTAAGAACCACTTCGCAGGGCACCCTCTCCCCCACCCGGCCTCAATGCTGAACCATCGTCGCGTTCGTGGAAAAGCGGGGCCGGACAAATCTTGAGACCAACATTTCGAATGCAATACTTGCCAATGTGAAGGCGAGGTGTGGAGAGGGGGAATGTTGGGGTCGTTTTGGGGTTGCCTCGGCGGCCTCTGGGGCCGTCATGGGGCCCTTGTCGGCCAGCTTTGGCCGCTCTTGGCCCTCTTGGGGGTCTCGTTGGCCCATCTCGGAGCTGATTGTGTTGAATTCGTCTTGGGGCGCTCGCAAGCCATCGTGGCCCTCTCGGGGAGACGTCTTGAAGGATCTTGGGGCCTTCTGGAGCCGTCGGGGGGCCCTCTTGGGGGCCATCGTGGGGCCGTTCTGGGGGCTTCCCAGCCGTCGTGAACGCTCAAACTAGCGAATAAGCAAGCAAGCGACAATTCACACAGAACCCGCGAGGACACAACAACATATCTGACCTGCTCGGAACGGAAGGCTTCTCGGGTGCCTGTTGGGCCCTATGTGGCGGCTCTTGGGCCGTGTTGGGCCCAACTGGGGTCCCTGCGGACATCTCGGGAGCCGGATTTCTTATTCGACGCGCCGACCACGACGACGACGACGACGACGGCGACGGCGACAGCGACGACGACGGCGACGACGACGAAGACGACGACGACGATGACGACGACGGCGACGACGACGACAGCGACGATACCTTTGCTGCTGGGCTCCAGCGACAGGTCATCGGGGCTTCGCCCTGGACGTCCGCGCCTGCTCTGCCGCAGCCGCCGAGAGGGCACGAGCCTTGCGGCAAGTTCGTGCCGCAATGACCCCGGCGCTGGTTTCTGACACTGCGGGGGTCTTTCGGCCGTGAACGATCGGCGGCTTGCGAGCGTTTGCTTATGCGGCGCTTCGACATTGAGCGGAAGGGAGGGAGGGGCGGGTGGGTGGGTCTGGCTCCAGACCTCTGCTTCGTGCGACTGATTGGACCAGTGCTCCCATGGGCAATCCTATGCGGAGCCGCCCGCCTGCTTGAAACAGGCGCCCAAAACAGCCAAGGTCTACTCCATCGGGGAGGGGGAGGGTTGCGAGAGCTCGCGCCGATCGGCAAAACGATGCATAAGAAAACGATCCCCTTCTCGATCGCCAGATCGTTCTGTTTGTGCAGATTCTGGGCCGCTGGCGGGGGTCAAGCTTGAACTCCCGTCGCGGGGTCGCCGCCGCGTCGACACGACGCGAACCTGCCGTATCCAGCCTCAGTTCCCAGCGATATGGCGGCCCGGTTTCGGGAGGCATGGGCCCCAGACCTCTCTCGGGGCTCGGCTGACCCGGGTCAATCCAGACCCGGGCCAGTCAGGCCCTGCAGGATCCCGCAAAATCCTGCAGGATCTTGCAGGATCTCGCGCCCAGGCCTGGGTCAGTGCTAGGGGAACAAAAAATGGCATATACAGAAAAACTCGGAGGTCCACGCGGATGTCTCGGATCGGCGCTGGACCCCCCTCCCTGGCGCGCGGAGCGCGCGGGGGGCCCCAGCGCCGATCCGAGAAATCCGCGCGGACCTCCAGGTTTTTATGTTCATGTGAGCGAGCAACGACATGTGTACATGTACGCCCTCCGCGGTATTGCGTGCACGAACCTCCGCGTTCAAACGCAATTCGGCGGAAACAAACCGCGTACATGTACATATGTTGTTGCCCTCTGATTATGCCACTTCTTGTTCCCCTATGTGCAGCCCTTGCCCTCCAGGATCCCGCGAGATCCGGCACTCTGGCTGGCCCCCGTCTGCACTGACCCCCCGGCTCTCTCGAGCTCCGACGCTCGACCCGCTCCCTTGGGCTGGCTCTGCCAGGGGGCCACAGGCGAACCCCACCCCTCCCCCCCAGAAATCGTGGGGGGTAGGGGTAGGATTCGCATGTGGTCCCCTATCTGCACCCTGCGTCGGCTCTGCATCAGATCTGGTCAAGGGTATCCCCAGATAGCCCACGGGAGTCAAGACATCGTGCCCCGACTTTTTTCGGGGGGCAATGTTTGACAGTTCTCGGCGGTGGAGAAGCCTCCCTTTAGTCAACCACCCTTTAAGGAAACCAGCCTGGGACCGAAACCGAGGGACCTGGACCCGCAAAAATGACAACCGCGACATCCTCTCGCGAACCGAAAGCTGCCAATTCGCTAATCGACGTGTCAGGGTAGGAGGTCTGTCCACCCCCAACCAGCTTGAGCCCAAGATGAAGCCGGAGCGAACGGGACTGAGCGGGCTCGTGCCGGATTTGGTCGGTGTCCGACAACGGATCTAACAGCGCCGAAGCTGGATATTCCGCCTCCCAGGAGCGGCATACCATAATGCGGGATGGTTCCATACAGATGCAAGGTCAGGGTAGGAGGTCTATCGACCTCCGAAATCCCCCCTGTGGAGGGGCATGTCCGACCGAAACTCTGCATCCCGAGCCCGCTCCGCATCGCGCGAGGGCACGAGGCCGGCCCCCCCCCCCCGGGGGCCCAAGAGGGAGAGGCAGCTGCCTGATGGGCCCACTTGCCACCATCACTACCATCTGGAGGAGGAGGAGGAGGAGGAGGAGGAGGAGGAGGAGGAGGAGGGGGAGGAGGAGGAGGAGGAGGAGGAGGAGGAGGAGGAGGAGGAGGAGGAGGAGGAGGGAGGAGGAGGGAGGAGGAGGCGCTCCTCCCCGTCCTGCATATGGCAGCGGTGGTGGACAACGTGCCCATCAGCTGCCACCCCGACTCTCCCTCCGGCCGCTGGACGCCGGGCCCCCCCCCCCCGCCTGCGCCCTCCTCGCGGCGCGGCGCGGCAGGCCTGCGGCACGCCCAGCAGCTTCGAGGCCCAGAAGGACATGCGGGCCGACAGCGCCTGGCGGGCGCGGCCGGCGGGTCTGCACTGTCGCGGCTCGGCTCTCGAGATGCGCCTCCAACGGCAGACCCACGGGTCATCGCCACGGACAAACTGGCCATCGCTCGGACGTCCATGCCCCGTGTTGTTTTCGGTGTCGTGCGTGGTTTTTTCGCCAAGTGCTCAAGGATGCTCTTCGATGGTCCTCGCCGAAGGAAAAAATGCACACGTCCGAGCGATGCCAAGCAAAAGAAGGGCGGCCCGTGTTTGCTCGTGTGGGGCCTCTGCAATGGCCGCTTCGGGCCCTGGGGCACCGACATGAAGCAGCTCGGGCCGAAACGGCAGCCCCCGGGAAAGGACATCGGAGGCCTGGGCCGCGTGCAGACGTCTCCTCTCGATGAGCGCCAATCGGGCGGGAGCACCTGGACCTCGCATGCTGAATCGACGGAGGGGGGCGAGATTGGCTTGAGGGGCAAGCCCACCAGGGTCCATCGCAAGGGCGCGCTTCACGCTAGCGTGAGCTGCAATGGCAACTCGAACAGAAACTCGCTCGACGGGACTCTCGAGCAGGACCACCCAGCCCAGCATCCTGGTGTCCCAGAGCCGGCCGCCAAAAGCCAGCAATGGCGGAACATTGCCGCTGGACGTCGCAGTCCAGATAGGTCTCCTGAGGTCGATCTCAGTCTCACAAGTCTTGAACCTGGATCCTGGAGGAGGAGGAGGAGGAGGAGGAGGAGGAGGAGGAGGCGGACGAGGAGGAGGAGGAGGAGGACAGCGGTGGACTACATCCAAAATCTCATGTCGCGAACTCAGCATGATGCTCGCCGAGGCGAGGAACGACTTCTCCAACGGCATCAACGACGACCACGAGGCGATGTTGGAGCTATCCGTCTTCGCCGAGCGGGCGCCCATGAGCGACACCAGCCCCCACTTGCACCTCACGCAGCTGCGTAGCACGGAGAGAACGCCCACGGCCCCCGCCAGCCACCACCAGCACTCCCCAAACCAGAAAGCCGAGTCTTGACCCCTAACCCCAAGGCCCTACCCGTAACAACCACACCCGCAGCGAACCGCCGCCACCGCCCTGCACCCTCCCAGCTGCCAGACGTGGAACGAGCACACGCCAGCACGGGCGCCGAGGCAAGCAAAGATCCTACCAGGCTTGCCACTCGTCTCACATCACAAGCTACCGACACCGCAGCCATGGGTTACGGAGGCAGTCGCAAACCCGGTGGTATGGAACGCACAAATCTACTACTACAACCTCGAGGCCCGCGAGTCGGAATAGGACGACCCTGGCAACGTAGTTCTGCGACGCGGGTGGTAGCGAACACCCTCTTCCGACAACGAATAATTCTTCTACGACGTCAACCACAGCATGATCAGACACCCTCCAAATTTCAGATAGAGACCAGCGGCAGCCATCTCTTCCGCCTAAGGCAAGGTCACCATCACCACAGCCAAGATCATTCTACGAGGACATACCAGCCCTGGACGACTGCACCCAAAGGTACCACACCGACCATGAGTTCAAGAACGCCGTGGACACCCTCAGGACTGAAATACAGAACCTGAACAACGACCAGATGCCCGCCTACGTGGAAGACGACAGGCAGCGTGCTCGCCTCACCAACTACATCGCCAACAACCAAGCCGACACCATCCCCAGCCCCGAAGAGATAACGAGGGTCACCACGAAGATCCAGAAAGCACTGACACCCGGAGCAGCAACCTGCCTCTCTAACGACCAGCAGACTGCGACCTCGGCAAGCAACTCCACGCATGTGGACAACCCGACCGTTCGTAATCACAGAGCGACACACGACCAGTCCAAAGTCAACGACCAAGCTGAAGACCAAGCCATGAAGGTAACGACATCATCCCCATCCGCGACTCAGTCCGACATTACCGCAAAGGAGCAACACCTCACTAGCTGTTGTCCCCAAGGCAGGACAGGAACCTGGGGTTCGTGGGAGCCATACCCAGAATGACCCCACTACCCCACTAGGAGGTCCCCGCCAAGCCGCCGCCAATCACAACACAGCTTGCACACGACAGGCCAAAGACATCGAGCACCAACACCGTGCCTCCGATAAAACTGCCCTACAAATCGCCGCCCGTCAAAGCTGCCGTCAAGGACCGACCATGCATCACATGGAGACCTTCTACGAGCAGGCCATCACACCAATTGAGCAACCACACATCGGAATTAAATCAGGATCGTCAGACGGAGGGCACCAACAGGATGCCATCACGCGCATGACCAACACCATGAGCAACATACACTACGAGCGCATCACTCACCTCTTCAATATCCGCGTTCACAATATGATCTCATCATCCATCCCTGGCAACATAGGACCCAGAGGCTACGTACGACTGGGATGAGGACTGAAACAACTCAATGGGGTATGACTGCGAGGTCCTGATGACCTAAGTCGCGGCACCCCTCCACTACTATTTTCGACACGACGCACTCCCGGTAACCCGACTCTTCAGGATGACCCACAGCCAGAACGTCCTCGCTCACTTCATCAACAACCATCTTGCAACTATGCTCGCCTGCCCGATTGCCGACGATTGCGCCGACCTACCGACGCCAGCTGCACTCAACCAATAGCGCCGTGGACTCCATATGCATACCTATACGACCACCCTTCGGGTGATAATGAGGTTCGGGGGGGAGGAACCAACGTCTCACTCGATCGGTCTCACTATCGATCTCACTATCGATCTCACTATCGGTCTCGCTCGATCGATCTCATTCGATCGATCTCACAATCGATCGCACTCGATCTATTTCATTCGATCGATCTCACAATCGATCTGACTATCGATCTCATAATCGATCGCACTATCGATCTCACTATCGATCTCACAATCGAACTCACATTCCGTCTCACTATCGATCTCACTATCGATATCACCATCGATTTCACTATCAACGTTGTCATCGTCAACATCATCGTCACCAACGTCATCAACATCATCATCATCATCATCGGGACACCACCATCATCATCACGTCATTACCCTCATCATCGCCATCATCATCACCACCATCATTAGCATCGGAACACCATCATCGTCACCATCATCATCAAAATCATCATTATCATCGGGGCACCATCATCATCATGATCATCGGAACACCGCCATCATCATCATCCCATCACCACCATGAACCACATCACCAACATCATCACAATCGGGACACCATCATCATCAACAACATCAACATCAACAACATCATCATCCGGACACCATCATCATCGTCACTTCATCATCGCCATCCTCATTATCATCATCATCGGGGCACCATCATCATAATCAACAACATCAGCATCACCATCATCGGGCATCATCATCAAAATCACGAGCACCACCACATCATCATCAACATCAACATCAACATCAACATCATCATCATCATCATCATCATCATCATCATCATCATCATCGGGACACCATCATCGTCACCATCATCATCGACATCATCATCATCATCACCGGGACACCATCAGCATCACAATCATCATCATCAACAGCATCATCATCAAGCTCATCATACCATCATCATCGGGACACCATCATCATCATCATCATCATCATCATCATCATCATCATCATCTCCAGCATCATCAGCATTACATCATCTCATCATCATCAACATCATCAGGATCATCAACATCATCACCATCATCAGGACACCACCAACATCATCAGCAACCGCATCATCATCAACATCAACATCATCGGGACACCATCATCATCACCACCATGGCAATAACCATCATCATCATCATCAACATCTTCAACATCATCATCATCATCATCACCATCATCATCGTCATCATCATCATCATCATCATCATCATCATCATCATCATCGGGACACCATTATCATCACCATCATCAACATAATCAGTATCATCAACATCATCGACATCAGCATCAGCATCAGACTTTCTTCTCGCCCGCCCACGCAGCTTCGCCTTGCCCGCACGCGCGGCACGCACGAACACGAAACCGAAACCGATTTCCCGGTAGGGGGGCTCTCCGTTCCACTTCGATCTCACCCCCCCACCTCCGATCAAGCTGGGCGTGCGCTACACCAGGGAGGCGCCCCACCAGGCAACGCCGCTGGGCAGCTTGCGGCCCACGGCGGGGATGACAATCAGGGACCACCCAACCAGGGAGCTGGCTGACGACCACACGCACGAACAATCGACTACAATGACACACCGCGACGCTCCCACTGAGCCCACGCACCCAGGCTCATCACCCGCAGCACCCGCTCCATAAGAGCAGGAGGCACTGCACAGCGCCAACATCATCAGCAAGCTTGACCGCCACCCCGCGGAACTTGGCCAGTTCTCGCCGCAACGCCTGATCGCGGAAACGCACCCATGGCTGGCAACCACCACCACCACCACCCCGCAGCAAGTATCGGCACCAACCCGCAGGACGATCGCCGATACCAGCACCCCGACACCAGCCAACGAGATCGACGACTCAAGCCATCTACGTCTGACAACAGAAGACGTGGCCTACCTCGGGGAAGCGGAGCTAGATGACGCCACGATCCGGATTGCAGACGAAGCGTCACCATGGACGCGCCATCCCGCACAGAGCAGAGCCGGCATGGCAACCGTGGCCATCCTTCGCAATTGCATCCCGGCTCGACGAGCCGACCCGCCTGATGAATCGGGAGACTCCCCCCCGAGCGCTCACAGCCAACGGGGCGTGGGCCTCGCGACAGGACCGGCCGAACGGCGGCCCACCAGTGCGTCATCGACCTCCCACATGCTGCTACCAGTTATGCTCCACGAGACCGGCAGCAGGCGCCACCATCAGCCAACTGCTCCTTTCCACATCCACTTCTCGGCACTATCCTTTTACCGAGCAGCCGCGCTCACTGGACACCCAGCAGCAGCAGCAGCAGCAGCAGCAGCAGCAATTGGCCCGCACCGACTACGTGCCTTCTCTGACTTCCTATCCACCGCTCCATGACGACGGCAAGCCCCCACCTATACGAGCATCCTCGCGTCTATCACACAGCACAGCACTACGGCGAGCACAACCACAACAGGGTCTGCTATGCGGTGGGTCCACAATAATACAGGGCCCCAGGACCCGCCGTGACTTTCTCACCCACGTATGCTACTTAACAGGCGTGCCGCGAGAGTGCTGGCTACACCGGACCAGTGGATAGAGCTCTCTCATGCGCCCCCTTTGGTCGGGGCCTTAATCACCAGCTGCGAGCTGGGGCCCCAGGGGTAGCAACACGAAGAGCCTCCTTTCCACTGGTCTTGAGTTTTTCACCCAACCTTCACTTCCTTCTGGCTCACCTCCTTGTTGCCCCCGCTCCCCCCACCTCTCACCTTTGACCTTCTCCTTCCCACTCGTGTAGCCACGGGACGAGGGGGGACGGGGAGGCACAGATGCTAGCTGGCCAACCTGGCAAGGTTCATCTTCCACCGCCACACTCCCTGCCTTTGCTACGGCGGAGCCATGGCCTGTCTACACCTTCCGCGCCAAGCAGCCACTCCTACAGCCACGAACTTGGGAATGTCAAGGGGGGGAGGGGTTACGTGGGCCGGGTACGGGAAGCTACAACCTGCTGACTAACATAGCGAAGGCCAAGTCAGGCCCAACAGCACACACAGCTCCAGAGCCTTGCAGCCGTCCCCATCGCCAACGCCTGCATGCATCGCATTCCCAACTTACTTCTCACTCCCCTCTCTTCCATCATTAGCGCAGAGCCGTCAGCAGCAAACGGTGCTGGCAAATTATGGCCGCCACTGGCAACAGCCCCAGTGCTGCCCACGTCAGCTCACCCAGGCATCACGACAGGCCGTCTTGGCGCCGCCAGGGCGCCCGCAGCTGACGAGCAGCGCGACGCCGCCAGCCCCTTCCCGACTCACCGCAGGCAGCCATGGCATTGGCCAGGGCCGCCGCAGGCAGCAACCAACGTGCGACACACGCCAGCCGACATGGCATTCGGACCGCCACGTGGAGGGAGGTTGGGAGGGGCTTCTTAGTGTCAGATCGGGCATGTCCCCATGCAGGCATGTTTTGGACGAAAGATTAGACATAAACTCAAAAGCAAACATTGTCAACGCTTGTTGAAGACATCATCCCCAGACTATCCTCTGACTATGTTGGAAGCGCCCTCCTGTAGAGGAACAGGCCCGACTGAACCTTCGGGGGGCGGCTGCGGGACATCACGGCGGGGGTGTCCACGTGGCGGGGAGCCGTGCCGCCGCCACGGAGAGCACAGCCCCCCCCCCCCACGCCAGGCGGACCCCCCCCGGCGGCCACCAGCCTCGCGGCTGGGGTGCCCTGCGCCTGCTTGGCTGGCGAGGGCACCAGCCACGGGGCCGCTGGACGCTCCTAGGGGGGGGCTCCTCTCGGCAGGGGGGAGGGGCCTCCGCGTGCCCTTTCCGCAGTGGCGCCTGTCGGACTCCTGCGCCTTCGGCTCGGGAGTTCGGCAGGGGGAGAAGGGGGGCCGATATCAGAAGAGGTATGCGGAGCCCTCTGGAGCTTCACCAAAGGCAAGAGCCCACACACGAAAATCTCGCACCTCCATCCTCGAGGAGGAGGAGGAGCAGGATGAGGAGGAGCAGGAGAAGGAGGAGGAGGAGCAGGAGCAGGAGGAGGAAGAGGAGGAGGACGACGACGGCGGCGGTGGCGGCGACGACCAAGACGAGCGCCGCTGCGCGCAGGGGAGCGCTGGCGCGGTGCAGGTTGAAGTACTGAAGGAAACTCACCTCGCCGCACTCCTGGGGGCGGCTCTGGCCTCTTCTTCCCCGGCGGCGGGCGGGGGGGGGACCCGCTTGAGCAAAACTCTGCGGCCTGAGGAGGTCTCCCCTGGGGACGCTGAAAGAAGCCAATGGTTGTAATCCATTCCAGCGCGATACGCGATTTCAGTTTTCAATGTTTTTCTAACCTTGGCTGTGTTTCTCTCGTTCAGGTTTTTTGTTTTTTGTGTGATCTGCATGTCAGGAATTTCAGAATTCCTTGACATGTCCCTGTTGTTTTTCGTGTTTTTCGCTCCAACGCCGATTAGGAATGCGCACTTTCGTTCGAAGATAGAAGTGTGATTTCGTTTTTTCCCGCCGTAGGCCTTCACGCATTATTATAATTTTCTCATCGTTACGATATGATTTGTACCTCCAGCTTTTATTCGGGCAGAATTGGGGCCATTCAAAGGATAGGGCCATTCAAAGGATGGGGTCATTCAAAGGAAGAGGAATAGGAGGAGGAGGAGGAGGAGGAGATGGGATATTGAAATGCCCACAAGTCGGCTGCTCACGCGCTAGGCGGGCCGCGAGGCCAGCGGAATCGCTGTGGGTAAATGTTGGCTCACGCGCCTGGCGTGACCAATTGGGGAGGGAATGGTCGCCGGCGTGTTTTCTCTGCGCAAGAGGGCCGACGGTTGGGCGTGCGTTTTGAAAAGGGCCGCCCTCATACGTTAAGGGATCCTCGGGGTGTCTGAGGCGCGTAGGATATCCAGGGGTGTCTGGGCACGCGGGTGCGTTTGAAAAGAGCCGCCCTCTTACGTTAAGGGATCCTCGGAGTGTCAGAGGTGCGTGGGATGTCCAGGGATGTCTGGGCACGCGGGGAAGTGAAGGGAGAGAGGGAGAAGTAGTTTTTTTTGTTCGGCGTCTGAAGGCGCGTTGGCCCAAGGCCCGAGCCTTCAATTCAATGCTGCAATGCAACACACAAGTGTAATTGTTGGATCAGTGAAGCGGCATTCCGTCCTTGTCGATGGCCAGTGCACATTCGATACTAGATCGTTGGCAAGATGTGCAAGTGATATATCTATTGGGATGTCGGGTGGCCTGGATCAGAGTCAGCAGACAACCATGCGCTCGAATGCTCAGCGCATCGTCTCAGATATGGTAGTACGTCGTGACGGGCCTGGTGGTGTGTGTCTCACGATAAACGATTTGTTTTCAGCTTTACAACTGCTGGATATTAAGACCGTGTCTCTGTGTATTTTAAATGTGATAGAACGACAAGTCAGAGATGCACAACTAGCCGCGCCTGCTGCACCTGTTGTTCCTGTTGTTGACCCTGTCGACCCTGCTGTTCGAAGGGGCGGCAGAGGCAGAGGCAGAGGCCGCGGCAGAGGCCGCGGCCGAGCCAGAGGCAAGGCAGCAGCCCGTCCCTGTGATGTTGATGCTCGCGATGCTCAAATCAGGATTCTGAAAGACAAATTGAAAGAGAAGAGCCTCAAGCTGCGTCGTTTTCAAATGAATGCTCGTCATTGGAAGGGTGAGGCCAAACACTTGCGGACTAAGTTGTCGTGTGAGCACAAGCGCCATGCTGAGTTTGCTGAGCGGGTGACGATGCAGCGTCAGAGGAAACGCAGGGGCGTTGCTCAAAAACCATGGTTGAGTGTACGCGGCGGCTACTCGATGGCAGTGCGCCGCAACAATGGTCACACTGGTTCGAAGCGCATGCAACTGCAGTTCATGCGCCCGACAAGTAAGGACGTGATTCCACGCTGGGAACGCCTATTGGGGACGTGCTGTGTCATGCTATCTCAAGAATGGTACAGGTGCCAGTACGACCGAGTAGCAGCTGGCATTGCATCAAGGATCAACGCACCGATCCCCGCAACAGCGGACTCGCCCGGGAAGAAGTTCTCGTATGAGATCAATTCTATCGCAGGGGATGCAACCAATACCGCGGTGAGGGAGCACAAAGCCCACACATGTCGCATTGTGAGTAAGTTCCATTTTGTGCAGCAGGACGGCGACGAACCTGGCCTCCAATACAACGAGTGTCAAGAGGTCTGGGCTGACCTGATGCAAGTTCCAAGCTCCGCTGGGGGAGTCGAATGCAGGTCAATGTATTTAAAGCAGTGCAGATCTTCTGGGCTTCGGGACTGGCTGGACGAGTCTACGTGGCTGTGCCAACCAGCATTTACTGCCGACACGAGCTCAGAGGGGATTGATTTTGAAGCGTTGCATTTACGGTGCTTCGTATGGGCAAGCGATAGGGGATCCGACCAAGCCAAAGCTGACAGGCTCATCTCGGATGATATTGCTAGGCAGTTGTTTACACTGACGTTTCGCGCTTGGTGTTTGCGCCACCAGTTACACCTGTGCGTCAAGCGGCACCTGGAGTTCATGGACGACATCAAGCACTTCAGCAATTGCGCGAAGATTTGCAATCTGTGGAGATCTAGCGGCGTAGCACGTCGCGTATACGATGGCTTCGTTGGTGTGGCTGGTAAGCACGTCGCTGATCACGTGGCCAAAACACTCCCCCCCAGAGCCCTGAGAGGAAGATGGTCATCCATTTCTAAGCTCGAGCTGTTTATTCGCAGATGCGGTCGCGAACACCTTCCCCGAGCAATCGAGTTTGCATTGAAGAAGATTTCAAACAACAAGCAATCCAGCCGCGGCCCTCTTCTGGCTGAGAGCGATGATGACACTCCAGAGGCATATCAAAGGAAGCTTGGGAGATGGCGGCAGGACGTTCTGGCGGCAGTTGCTTCGGACGAATTCTGGCTGGGGCTTGAAATTGCCAGCGTGACCCGCAGCCCCATCACGATGATTGAACGATGGCAGGAGCGACAGCAAAACCCAAGCAAAGCAAAGGGCCATGATATGTTTGTCCTTGTGACTGATATGAGATTCCAAGTTGAAAAAGAATTTGATAACTTGTTTTCATCAGCCTCGTGGGGGGTGCTTTTCGACCCGGCTTCGTACGAGAACATGGACGGCGGCATTGATGTCAACCAAGACGATTGGGTGCATAGAGCAGTTGCAAGCATTCTTCAGCTGGCTGTCGACTTTTTCCATCGAGTTGTCCTCCCTTGCGAGATTTGGCCACGGCTTCTGATGTGGTTGATAGCGAGTCCCTGGAATATGAAATGCGACGCCAGGATGCATGTCGCCGACGAGCTTCTACGTGCACCTCCACAGGCACTTGACCTGACTTGCCAGAAAATCAGAATCATTTTCAATGACGAATTGCGCAGGGCATGTGAGACTGGACTGCTCACCCCGTGCTTCTTCGAGTTCCTGAATGACGTGGCTGCGTCCTGGCGCACGCACACCCAGGACTTTGGGCGGATAGTAACGGGGGCAAGGAGGGAGAGGATCGATAACTAGTTGGAAATTGTGTCGGCCACGCTTGCCACTGAGCAAGCTCCGCAGCAAGTTGGAAGAGGGCCTCCTCGTCGGGCCTAGGTGGGCGACTTGAGCAAACGAGCAAGCACCTTGAGCCAAACTTGCCACGAACATGAGGAGGAGGAGCGGTGGTAGCAGCAGCGGTGGCAGCAGCAGCGCGAGCAGGAGGAGCAGGAGCAGGAGGAGGAAAGTAGGAGGAGGGCGGAAGGGAAGAAGGGGAGCGAATCGGATGAACAGGAGGCATGAGGACGACGTGGCGACGACGAGGGCGCGAACCCCAGGACGTGGAAGGCGCGAACAGCAGCATCAAGACCATGACCAAGATTGCGCCCAACACCGATTGGCCCTTACTGTCCTCTCGTCATTCAATCAAGCGACTGATCCACACTTTACCGTCCATCGATGACAGAGAGGACGCTCCTACTTCCCACTCCGGCCTCCTCTCCTCTGCCTCCTCCTCCTCCTGCTCCTGCTCCTCCTCCGTCCCCTCAGTCATCTCATCCTCCAGGGGGGCCACTGGGAGACGGGAATCTCCCGGGAATCTGTCTAGGTCAGCTCTCTCGGGCTCTCGGCCTTATCTGGCCCCTCCCCTGTCGCGCTCGAAGGACGGGGGGATGGGGCAGGGAGGAAACAGGTCAAAGGAGCTGACCTTTACTGGTTCTCGCCAGCCACTCCCCCTCAGTTTCACGCACGCCCCCTGCCCCTGAGGAACTCGTGGAGGAGTGCGTGCGTCTCCACGACCGTGCAAGGGCAGCCTTGAACGATGAGATCCAGAGTATGAGATCCAATCGTAATTGTGACGACCCAGCCGAGGGCAGATGGGACTTCCCCAACCCACAAAATGATCCGTTGACCCCGCCGCACAACATGATAGAAGCCCAGGTAAATATTAGCTTGAAGCAACGTTTGTCCCACGTTGACAAGAAATCGTCTGAAGCACTTGCGGCTATATTCAATAACACCATGGAGCTGGCAGATTTCCCCCAGGTTCATACGAAAGAACACTGGACCCCTCGGTACGCATTCATATTCAGAGCACGGCCCCTGGACTCGGAGTGCAGGACGCGCGCGTGGATACCTGCGCTGCTGTATGCGAGGTTGCACTGGTGCGTGGAGGCCATGCTGGCTCCCCTAAATGACGAACCCTAGAAGCCTGGCCACTTTCACTGATGAGGGCGAGGGGGGGGGAGGAGGAAGGGGGAAGAAGATGATCAGAAGGATTACGACGTCGAGGAGGTCGGGGATAGGATGAGCAAGAGGGGGGGCAGGGGGAGGAGGAGGAGGAGGAAGAGGAGGAGGAGGAGGAGGCGGGCCGACCCCCTCGAGATCCTTTGGATTATAATGCGCCTCAGATCAGCAGTAGAGTAGGCGAGAGGGGGCCGTCCTTAGCGTGTTAGTGCTACCCAAAGGCAACCTTTGACGAGGGCTGGGGGGCTGCCGGCTTCAGATGCGCGGGCAAGGTCGAGCTCGTTCGACCTCTCGAGAAGAACCCATTCCTAAACGCTGTTCATCAGGAACGTCAGTTCGCTGGAGAGGGAGGCCAGCTCGAATGTCGCGTTGCGCGCTTGGTCTGGACTCTTGGGTCTCTCACTGAGGCTATCGTGATCACTGACGTCGGTGTGGAACTGACCCCT